ATGGAAGGCTGAGTCAACCCTGAGCCGGTGAGATTTGAACCGCTGAACTGCTGATCTAGCAGTAGCCTGCAGTGCTGCATTTAACCACTGCGCCACCTCAGCTCTTATCCTATCCTCATGCCTTTTTTGCACTTTTCTAGCCTTGCAAATGCATGCCTTTTGGGTGTGTTGAACAACTGCTATAGTCTACAGGTCAGACCATGCTTACTGGGAATTACAGAGGTTATTGCCAAACACATCCAGAGAGCAACTGTCTCTGCAACTTATTCTGTTCTATTCTGTTCTCTGGATTTCATACATACCTTTTCAAAATGGTTTAGGCCCGACACTGAAATGGAAAAATTAAAAACTGGTAATCTGTTTTACTGAAAAGAAAACATTTGTAATTCTTAACACAAGAGAACAGGGTAAGTTGAGGATCAAACCTGAATTCATAATCTTTCTGTCTTCTAATAATTATTGAATATTGTCAAATATTCTTTGTCCCAAAATAGCATTCAATAATCCCAGTATAAAATAGCAACTGGGCTTTTATTTTAAATTATGTCTCTAGTTATATCTAGTCTTAAGAATGAGTCAATTGAGACAGTTTGCCATAGAGCTGGGTTGGTGGGGTTTTTTTTTTGCAACTATATTTTTTATTACACTATGTGAACTTTTAGATCGGTATTTAGTTTATGTCTGAAATTGGTTCTGGTACCACAAAAAGTCTGACTTTTTTCTGAAACTATAACAGTGTAAGGAATTAACTACAGGTCAATATGCTTTGTTATATGTGAAAAAACAAGAACATATTTTCTGTATTTTTTTTTTGCTTCCTCCAAGATACGCAGGTCATTTTCCTTTTTTATATATATAATTTGTTTAAAATATTTCTAAACTTTTTTGATTGACAAAAAATGATCCCAACCAATCACAAGAAAGTATAAATAATATAATAAACAAAAACTGACTTCCAAATAGATGCCTGAAAATATAAAAATTACATAGTTTTAAATGTATTCATTATAGGCATAAAAGAAGGAAAAACACGAACATATTTATGTATATTAAATAAAACAATACATATTCATGTTGTGTTACACAGTTTTTATCAATACTTAAGTCAACAACAGGAAAAATTAGAATGTACAATGAGCATATTGGGTGGGGTTCCTGTTTCCAAATATAATTCTGACAATAAATTGAGAGAATTAAAAAAATGGAATTCTTCAAACCATTGTTTCATTGATGGATAAGGGTTATTGTTCAGTCTTGTACTATTAATTTTTATAACCATAATGTCATGCAATACTCATTTTTATTGTCTTCCATTATGTCTCTAAATTGCACATATATAATTCAGAATAATTATATAAGCATTTCCAAAGGCCAGTGAGTCTTTGAAATTAGAATTAATGTGAAATAATTTTTGGATCAGAAGGGAGCCATTATAGCAGATGACCATATATGAAACAATTGCAGTCCAAGTACCACATCTGTCTTTTTCATTTCAGTTGATTTTCTCTAATATTAAATATTCTGTATATATGTTGACTACATTGTGGGTTAAAGAATTGCTGATGATAATAAATAAAGCATGAACAATGTCTGAATGCATTATGCTATACTATACAGATCTGAATAATTCCACCAAAGAAGTAATTCAACCTGCTTGGGTAGAATTTTGTGACCTAGGTCCACTTTTCTCACTTTGGCAGGTTTAACCGAGCATCTCTGATCAATGTGGGTTTCCTGGAAAGTGGCAATGACACAGACTATATTGCCATGCATGATGTGGATTTGTTACCTCTCAATGAAGAATTGGATTACAGCTTCCCAACAGCTGGTCCTTTCCATGTGGCATCACCTGAGCTGCACCCACTTTATCATTATAGCACCTACGTGGGGGGCATCTTGCTGCTCACTAAGCGACACTATCAAATGGTAAGTCACAACTTCTTTCTGATGGAAGAAACTTCTGTACTTTTTGCAAAAGGCAGAAGACCCTGTTGATTGTGCTCTTTCTAAAGAAACACAGGCTTCATGGGGGTGGGGGAGAGAGACTGGCTATTTGCTAGATGTATCGGGGGGGGGGGAGACCCATAACCATGGAAATGAAGTGTTGAGAGAATAGTTGTGTATTTTATAATCTTTCAAGTCTCAAAACTTATAAGAGGAAAACAAACTGTGGGATTAACTGCCTTATTATTGTTTCAGTGTAATGGAATGTCCAACCGTTTCTGGGGCTGGGGCAGGGAAGATGATGAATTTTATCGTCGCATCAGAGCAGCTGGACTTCAAGTGAGGATGAATCATATTTGTAGTGGGAATTGGGACTTTGGGATTCAAGAGCTGAGTGTGATCTGGGACTGCTATAAACTTCTTTCCCCGATTCCCAAAGAATGACGTCATTTTAGTGGCTCACCTAGGCTCCACTATTCTTCATTTCAGCTCTTGCGACCCTCAGGTATTACAAGTGGATATAAGACATTCCAGCATCTGCATGATCCAGCTTGGCGCAAAAGGGATCAGAAGCGTATTGCTTCCCAGAAACAGGTGGAGTTTCTCATTTGGGAGGGGGATGAAAGTTGTATCTTGAAGTTGAAAAGTGTTATCTTTAGATGTAGTAAGTTAAGAAATACTTGCTTCCTCTTTATCAGTTACTTAACATCTACAAGAAGTAGGCAAATTTGCATCTCTAAATGTGACTCAACATTCAACTTCCAATTGCTGTAGCAAATATGACTAGTAGTAAGATGAAAAGTTGTAGAGGGCCACATTTTGCCCAGTTACGAGCCAATACTATACGGTTCCTGCCTGTTACTGTAGTATTGGGGGCAGGAGGAGGGGACATCATGTCAGGATGTCATGAAATAAAGATTCTGATTCTTTTAATATTTTGGAAATAGTAACTCTGAACTCTTAACACATAGAACGGAATGAATCATGAATTCTATTTATAATGGAATTGTAAATGCTGTTTACAATGAATATCAATTCCCATTATGAGCTTTCATCTGACATCTGTTTATTTCCAATATTCGCTCTAGGGTGCCTTTAATAAGCGAGTTCCATCTTTAAAATATTTGAATTCATGCTTTATGGTCAAAACAAACCATGCATGCGATGTAAATCTAGCAAGTATTTCTTTTTCTAAATAAATAGTTAATGGAAAATTCAAGGTGTTTTTAATGAAGGACTAAGACAAATGTTCTCAAATAAACTGTTGTTACAGAAAAATATAAGGAACATTCATTAAATGTTTTCATATATTTAGTAGCATTTGCAAGTCCTTGCTGCTGCTTCACCTCCATTTTTTATATATTAAGGCTGATCCTCTTTCTAACAAAGAATATGTATCCATATATTATAAAGTTCATCCCCCCACATATTTATGTTGAATGCTTAAATTGGGGTAAAAGGCAGGTACTGCCATTTGTTTTATGATTAAATCTCTAGACAAAATGTCCCAAAGTGTATGTCATAGTTAAGAAGATTTACAGAATTTCCCTGAAGGAACACCTCCTCATTCCCCTTTCCTGTCTTTATTTTGGTAAAGAAATATACATATTTAACTGCACAATCTGCAAATTGGCAAGTTTGTGTTTTTGCTGAAAAAGTGATCATAAACAGTTCATGAAGCAACAATGATGACTTTTGCTAAAATGACTTCTAACATGGGATTCTACTGTAATATTTAGAAATCAGACCTTCCTAAATTTATGCAGTTTTCACCTTTCTGGTTCTTAAATGAATGCAAAATTGTTAAACTTAATAAGCGAACAGTGTTTATAGCACAAGCTGACTGATAGAGGGTTTGCATGATGTGTAGCCTTGGAGCTTGTGATGCTGTGTAATTCTGTATTGTTAGCATCAAATTTCAAAGCTCTTGTTACGAATATTTTAAATGTTGATCAAAATTGATATGGTTGAATGATGCCATATTTGATTTTTTTTTCCCCTTTGTATTGTTGACTTTTTCATATAATGCATGACATTTTTTCTTTTCACAGGAGCAGTTCAAAGTAGACCGGACTGGAGGATTGACTAACCTAAAATACAGAGTAGAATCACGCATTTCACTGAGTGTGGCAGGAGCCCCCTGCACAATTCTTAATATCTTGCTAGAATGTGACTCCAGTGAGACTCCCTGGTGTGCGTTTGGTTGATATGCCTACTATACAGATTGCCTGTCTTGTTTGCTGCTCTACCAGCTCATGGCCAGAATTGCAGCTCAGCTCTGGGATGGCAAATCCTTCTGTAGGAACCGACAACAAGTCTTAACTGCCAGGACAAAGTGGTTAAAAAAGGGAACTGAGGATCTACACTAGTTGATAAAGCAAAAGCAGGTCATTACCTCTTCTACAAGGATACTGCAAGAGGACAACAATTGCAGTGGTAATGGAAACATTAAATAAGCCAAGTGCCTTCCGATCAGTTAGAAGGATTTTGTCTTAGGTATCTTCATCTCAACAAGCTGAAGAATCTGTGAACTCAGAGGCACTATAGGGATTAAATTATTGTTTCTCCGCTAGCCAAGACTTGGAAGATTTAGACTAAAGATCTAGACTAAAACTCAAAGGAATGTTAGACAT